ATACTGCATATGATGCAACCAAGTAACAACAGAGATGTGGTGAGCAGAATGATAATCTCTTGCACACTCCAGTTCTTAGCAAGCTGGCACATACCAGTAATTTTCCAAGCACTGAACATTGCCTTGGGCCTCCTTATGCCTATTACTGCTAGAATCATATCCATTTCCCTTCATAAAAGATGCAATCAATTCTCCAAAGTGGTACAAAAAAATTACATTCTATATCTGTATATCAATGCAAAGTATCACTTATAAATATCCAGTACTGTAACACCTCTCTTCTGACTCCTAAGTATATCATAAGCTGTATGGGAGCTTCCTTCTTGAAACTATTACATTTACCTATGTAAGCCTATGGTGGCCTATGTTTCAAATTCTGCTTCTTAAATTCCACGCATAACTCTGAGTAGATTAAACTTCACCCATTCGCGCCGGGTAAAAATGAACAAAAAATGGAAGAAATGCTGTGTTCATTTTTTATATTTTTTTTATGAAATTTCTCTACACTAGATGGCTCTGCTTTACCAGATTTCATTTGGCGGATAAATGTATTTTTACTAGTGCTATGAATATCGATGGTTATTTTTATTATAAACATTATAATTACTCTAATGTTATAAACATTAGTAACAGGAAAATAAGATAACGCAAAATAATTTTGTAAATTAAAGAAAAGGGTAAACAGACGAGACAGGCAGTACAAGTGCAAGTGGAGCCATCTATGTTTGTAAACAATCAAACAAGTAAACTCAAAGTGGGCCCGTCACGTATACGTGACGCCCGGCGCGAATGGGTTAATATATTTTTCAGTCATATATTGTAAATACATACATGAAAAAAGCCTGATACCAGTATACAATAAAGTAATACTGGGAGACAAAAAGTCCACACATTATCAAACACACATCCCTTCCGCATACAAAAATATTCAACCTTGCAAGCTTTGAAATATGAAGACATTACTGACTAAAATAGCAAAAAGCTTTTATTACATGTTAAGAAACCAAAATCGGTACCTCATAAGTTGCATACTAGTACCTATATAGGCCTCCTACAAAAAAAAGGAAACTCTTCAAACACTAAGATGCAAAAAAGAAAATTAAATACCTATTTATCCTATTCACACTGTATGGCATCTATTCTTGCTATATGAACCAATATGCAAGATGACAAGTATGCATCCTACATGCCATTGAGACTGCATTGTACTGAGTGCTCCAAAGATTTGTTCAATTGTTTAGGCATAACTGTAGTCACTGAGAGGTGTAGTCCCTCTATGTAGGCTTAAGGTCTTATTTTAGCCCGATTTACTGAGAGTTCATATAACCACAACCAAAATCAAAGAGAGCAATGAAAATGCATTTCCCGTGCTCCTGGTGTCTGAGTCAAGCAACTGACTATGTGCAGCACTGGTATTTGTGGTTCATTATGATATGAGAAAAAACAATTTCTATTGAATCAAAAAGGATTTGTTCTTACATCTAATACTACTCTGCATAATCTGCAACAATCAAATGTCAAAATAAGGCAAGTACTTATTATCACACACAGTTATCAATAAAGGGGTAATTCCTGCCATAAAGAGGTACCACACACTTTTACTTTCTTTATAACATGCTTCCCTTCCCATCAAGGAATGCTTGTCCAAGCATATATTTTTGTCATGGTGCAACTATTTACAATATGAACTGAAGCATTGCATGGAAAACCCCTGAATCATACAAGAAGCACTACAATATCCATTGCAACATTTACTGTAAAATATCACTTATGAAGTTTTCTTTGCTGAAGTTTAAAATAGAAGAACTGACTTAATTCATGTTACACATTATGCTGCTCATGATTCACACGCCTATCTGCCAGCTCTCCATCCAGAATATATCCTATAAATGAGTTATCATCAAAATCTTTATTTTGTACATCTTTCTTTAAAATGTTGTACATGAAAAATATAAATTTCCATCAAGCCTCTTGCATTAACAAACATTCTGAAACCTAAAAGAAAAATAATCATATAACATTAAGAAGGAAAATTATGGCCTATTTTAAGAACACTAGATTCTTATAGTTATAGGAGCCTTCCAAAGTGGTTCCTTCACAAAACTAAGTAAATATAACTGAATTACACTTCCTTTAGTGGGTTGTATGGATAGTTTAGTACTGGCCCTCCAGTTTCATACCCAGTGACCTAGGTTTGAGGCCTGGTCAGGGAGAGATGTTATACAACTATATTAATGTGGCATTGCATTATTCCATCTTTCATGAACAGACATGAACAGTACTGGCACAAATAAAGGAAAAAATTCACAGAATGTACTGCTTACAGACTCCCAAATTTCAGCTTTATCATGCCATGCAAACTGAGGTCATTTTTGGTCAATTGAAATGAAATGTTATACATACATTTGATGGTCTTTCAAAGTTTTATATCTTCAGATCAACAAGGTTACCCATTATAACCCTTCAGAGTTAACCATATAAAATTAAAGCCAGTATAAGAAAGGCTACTCAGACGCCATTATTAACACCATGCCGAGGCCAATTAACCCTAACATATCAAACGAGATATTAGCTCTATTAATTACCGATAAAAAAATTCATGAAAATTTTTAAATTTTGGTAAGCAATATCTATAAGATACTATTAGTTTTGAGATATATCCCTATTTGAAGTTGTGATCTTTTGTCTAAACTTTCAGGTGATATATTGATTCAGAAAATTGGTCTAATCATATGAGAGAAGGAGAATCGATCAACATAGATAGTTTTGAGATACAAGCATCAAGATAAGTGAGAATAAGTTAATATTATTGTGCTGCCATGCAAAGCAACTTCAGTAAACCCACCAGAGATACAGTTCCAAAACCAAGGCATCATGTGAATCCAAACCTAACCTTTCCTTACTTTATATCTATTCCTTTATTAGCACTTCATGCCAGCTTACAGAAAACACAACATTAAGAACTCTATGTGAGGGTGTTGTGAACTCTGAGCAATGACATTCAGAGGATATTTTTGTCATCTCTCAGTAAATATGAGGCTGATGCAGATGTACTTGTGTTGCATAAGACTATTTTTATATGCTTTATAAGATAGTAGTGTCCATTTCCTTCTATCGTTGGGTGTTGCACTCAGTAACATTAACCTAAAAGTTAGGTGAAATATAGGACGAGTCATAACGAAATACAGCTACGAGTAATAAAGAAAGATAGAGCCCAATATCTCACCCCAACTTCACAAAATAATAAATATTAGTATACATCTAAATTATGTATAAAATGGAACAAATTAATTATTGTTAGCATACATGCCTGACCTGGCCCAACCCCCCTCCATCAGACAAAGGTTTTGGGATGTTTACCAGATTTTTTATGTTATTCTAATATTCTTTATAACATCACCCCTTAATCCCCCCCCCCCCCCCCCCTATGGCAGTGCCTAATGGGCATGCCCTGTCATGGCAACTTAGATTGTTAAATAGATTTTGTGATGTGGAGTTGGGGACTAGTTTCTGGTGAGTGCATCTGTACTAGAAAGTTTCACCATAAACTGTGACAAATATACATTTAATCTAAATTTGGCAAAGGTCAATTTTGCTCTACAAAGCATGTTCCTTCCCAACCCAAAACTACAATTTACTTTGAGTAACCCTAACCTGTTGGATCAGAGAGGGATGGGGGGGGGAAACAAACCCTGAATTCACTCTAATCACATCACACTACTCAAGATATTCATACTCTTGTCCGTGAAAGTCTTGTCAAAGGGAAAAAGTTTACTATCAGAGACATAATTTTACATACAACCCTGCTGTCACTACACCAACCATCTAATAAATAATAACATAACACAACATCCAACACAACACAAATTACAACCACCCTAAGCTATTGGAACTTAATAAACACTAAATTTCTCCTGCTTCATAGCCTCACGGTTACTACAATTCCTTTCACAACATGCACTATTGGCTCATAATTCCATTAGCTGTGTTCTATCCACCAGAAACAGCTACGACATGCGAAATCTAAAATCCACCTCGGCAGCGGCATAATGTCAACAATATACCGCCGCTTCCACACCTCAGGCATCAGCAGAGGCCAATAAACCTACATTAAAGTAAACTAAAAGTATTATTAATATTTTAAATTTTGTAAAGTAAACTAAAAGTAAAGTAAAGTAAAGTAAAGTAAATTAGAGTAAATTAAAGTAAACTCCGGCAAGTTAAGCCTTAGACTGACTTCTTACTTTACGATAAAATGGCAATGAAGTCTCTACGAGCGTGCTTTATTATCTTATTAATTATCTTATTAACAATTATCAATTACCTTATTAACAATTTAATTTCGTGAGCCCTGTATGTATACTTAAAAAGAGAAAGTAAATCACAAATCATCAACATTCTTTACAAAACGCAGCAAAATGAAGTAAAAAAAATAACAAAAAACATAATGGAAATAAAAGAAATAACTAAAACATAATGGAAAAACAATGTAGAATCAGCTTCAAGACATTTTTATTTGAAAGATGAGAAATAACTCGAATATCTCGATACCATGACGAAATAACATCAACCCTTCAAAGTAATATATAAAACAGAAAATACCTTCAAAAAATAACAAAAAAAACAAATAAATAACATTCCCATATAACATAAATAACATAATTCAACATAAATAAAATTTCCTCCTCTTCCTCGTCCATAAATGGCCTTGGAGCTTTCAATAAACCACTCTTTTCCAACTTCTTTTTCCCCTTTCTGCCCTTCTTTCAAACGTTTGGAAACCTCGCCCACTTACCTCGGGGGAAAAAGGTGGAAAAAAATGTAGGCCTAAAAAAAAATCATCCTTTTTCTTCGAATTAAAAATTTTCTTTGGGGGGACATCTGTCAAGGCCAAACAAACTCTACTTATTTCCGACGTCTTTCCCGGCTTAGTTTCCACTCTAGTCCCTTCTCACGGACGGACGGCATAAAGATCGAGTGCTGGCCGACCTTGTACTCACATTTAGACGTTAAATAAGGGATGTTTAACGAGAAAGAATTAACTTTTTCCGCAGAGCAACGCCTTCTACGTCCAACATCCAGTCGCCATTGCTGACACT